CCACCCATGGTCAACATGTAAATATCACAGGCTGGGTTTTCAAGGTGCTATGCATTGGAAAATGTATGGTTTTGGAAAGCTTTAGGGTGCTCATATATAAGTCCAAACTCTGAGGAATACACCAGTGTAAGTAAAATTGTCGAGTCATTCTCATTTCGGAAGATATTAGGATTCAAAGTTTGTGACAATCCTGCAGTTTGGATTTCAGGCATTTAAGACATGCCTTGAAGTAGGGCTGTGGTGGCGACAGATAAGAGACAGATTGTAAAAGAGAGCCACTATAGCCCTGCGCGGGGCTACACGTCTATTATTGCAGTGTTGGAAATTCTGAATTTTGCATTGCCAGTGAGTTCTCAATCGGCACTATTCGCCCAGGTAATCAATAATTAATGGCCTGAGGATAAATTTCATTGAAACAGAAAAAAATTCTGCATGTTTCAGTTTAATTTGAAATTTTTAATAGAAGATGTAATTTTTTCTTAAATTTTCAAGTTCTCTGTGACCGTGTCCTTCATTACCTACCAACTATCTCTTTAACTGTTATTTCTAGTACCACTCTGCCCTTGGATATCCATTGCTGGGTTCCCATACATGTATATCAATTTCGAAATGGCCAAAGGTGTCTAAAGGCACATTTTAATTGTGAAAATGCCCATTTTTTTTTATTCAAAATCAAGGGCTTCTGCGCTGAAAAACATTTTGGGTACGTAAAGTGCGCCCCCAAACCCCATTACAAAAGACTTGTATCAGTCATACTTTTACCCTTTGCGCCCGGGGCAATTAGCGCATAATGATTTGGAATTATTGTCGCAGTGTTTTGCTTTTCTAATACATTTTGAAGAATTTGCTCCTGATATGTAGAATTTGTAACAAATTTTGAATAAAATAGTTCAGGTCTAACGAGATGGTCAAAACTTTAGGAGAAATACCGGTACATGTAGAACACAGAAAGAAGACATTTTAAAAAATTGTTTCAAACATCAATAAAAGAATGAGTCCACAAAAAAAGAAAGAAATTTTCGATACTTATTCTTTTAGCAAAACACCAATTTAACTTTAAGTAATAAGATTAACGTAAAGTTGTTGCTACAGTTAAGATTGGGGTAAACAAATTGTGGTGAAAAAATGAAGTCATTCCTTGCCGGATTAATAAGTGTAAGGTGATGCAGTGCAATTTTTCCCATCTCGTTCTCTTGGCATATGGCACCTATAAGGAGAAGACTGGAAAAAATGGAGTCAATTACGGGTAAAAAGAACATTGTCACAAAATGAGGCTATTTTGTTTTCTCTGAAAAAAATCATTCTTATTTTATTTACAAAGTACCCGAAAGTCCATCGTAGAAACCATTTCTTGATACCGCGATAATAGAGACTCCACCTCTGCTTGCATACGGTGCGCACACAGATAATTTTTCTAAGCTATCGTAGAGGAAAATATATTGAATCACGAACAAAATGTATGAATCAATCAAGTAAAAGTTAAAAAACACCAAAGATAGGATAATTCAGGAAGGTGAGCAAGTAATCTTTATTTCTATTGGGAGATGTGGTAACCGCGATAATAGAGTAACCCATCCTACTACATGTATGATGTAGGCCTACAGTATCATCTGTTGAAAAGGTTCATTGAAGAAGAGCTGCCAGATTTGTTTCTGGAGACTGCTCAAGAAACAGAAGTTTGACTAATGCAGCTGTCAATTGTAATCCCGGCCCCAGGAGACCTGGGACTTTCGAAAATGTGGGGGGACGTACCAGGGGATGTCCAAAAAAGGTGCCCCGCCAGCCGGAACGATAGCAGGGACTTGCCCAGGGTTGTACAATGGCTGCCCCGCTGACCTGGCACGATAGCAGGGACTTGCCCAGGGTTGTACAATGGCTGCCCCGCTGACCTGGCACGATAGCAGGGACTGCCCAGGGTTGTACAATGGCTGCCCCGCTGACCTGGCACGATAGCAGGGACTTGGCCATGGTTGTACAATTTGTTACACCGTCTATCGGTAAAATTTTATAACCCTGAGCTTCGATATGAAATACAAAGTGTTTCCCCTACCCTGACAGATGAAAACCTGACAAAGATAACACCTTATTTTGGGATCAGTGCGTGCAATATACAGACCTTTCTTTTTTACAAACATTGCCGCCACTTTCTATGGACTACTAAATGTTTAAAACATGGTAATTTAATCTTTCAACCAAGTAGCACTGGTCACATGTCTTTTGGTGATACATTTCAAATCATTGATTATCTAGATAATCTTCAATAAACGAATGAAGTGTTGTGATAATTGATAATTGTCTCTTGGGCTGGCACTGGCCATGGCCACATGTACATAACGAGCGTTTCAATTGGTCAAGTGGTCTCCACACAGTGTGTAACAAATTTTGCTATTGGATGAATTTCCATAATTATTTCCGAGACGTCCGCAAAGAAAGAATGCAGCGATTTGGGTCGTCGACCCCCTGATTCCGGTTTTTCAGATATGCGGACGAATGTTTTGCCAAAGTTTGGTATAATTATAACAGCTGCCCCTTGCTTTGCTTTATTTCGGTGGTATTTTACCTGTACTTACAGGGACCGACTCGGCGTCATCTTAGCAATGACCCAGAAGAGTAGCGGACTTTTAGAAATTAATGAAAGTTATTAGTTATTTATTTTTGGTTGTATGGTTGTTGCTTGCCAACCCCGCATGCTGGGGCAGGGACGGTGCGGGGATTGGTCACAACGCCCGCCACGCCATGCCCAGGATTGCACAGGGGGTTACCACAATGAAGCCCGGCATGCTGGGGCCTGGGATCAACTGGGGAATATAAAAAAGGTTGCCCCGCCCTGGCCGGGCAAATTACGGGGACCTGGCCAAGACTATCACGCTGGCCTTGTTTTATCTTCCCCATTAAGTCCCCGCTAGTCCCGGGTCCCCCTGGGCCGGGATTACAATTGACATGTGCATAATATGCTGGCAACTTTAAATTGGGACATCCTATGGCTGAGACGTGATACCCACCAGATCTTATTCGAAATTAGCCATCAAATAATCATAGGACATGTAGATACCAGTTAGATCTTGACATCCAAAACTAAAAACCAAACAAGTATTAATGGAACAATCTTCATCAGACCGTCTTTGATTCACCTTCATCAGCAGTTTCTGTCATGGTCTACAAACAATATTGCACTAATCCCCAAAATCAAATTACAGTACTGCGGTGGTTCCTCCTCTGTGGACTGTGAACCCTTGACTCACCGGGGCCACTCAGCTCGGTCGCTGCACCGCTCGTGCATAATTTGGCTAGGGCCTGGATCCGTTTGGGTGAAAATACACTGACCGTTTACACCGAGAACAAGGGACGGTGAAAGGAATGGTACGCCCGGCAAAGATATTTGTGGTTCTGCCTACTTCTAGCTGGTTTAATTGCCTCCACTCACTTTCCACAATGCTTGAAGTACCCTAACAAACACTAATGCATAACATTTACCATTGGCAAAGAGGGGGCATGAGGATCCATCGCACCCCTTCGCCCTGCCGAGATATACTGTCACAAACTTAAATAAAGGTACAGTACTGGTCCATGTACTCAGATGAATTAGTTTGTCCCGCCAGTATCCAATCCTTATGCACAATCGAAGTTGAAGCTAATTGTTCGGTCACAGTCATCTACACATTAACTAAATCCTTGTGCAAATGTGTAGCAGTCAACCCGATTTGAACTCCTCTGTGGCTCGGCTCAGACTGACAAATTTTCCCAATTCTAACGTTATTTAATTCCCTCTCCAGCCCAGTTTTCACAGCCCTGAAAACACCATCTTAGCACAAAATGCAAAATAATGGACCACAATAACCATTTTAACCTTTCTTCCACTTACTAGTTTTTATCATTACTCCAGATATTGTCCAATTCTCCCCTCTTTTCCAATCATGGCAATCTTATTAGTTCAGTTCCTCACTTTCCCCAACATAATTTACTCAATGGAGACAAGTTGTCAAATCCCCTGACGGTTACACCAATACCCCTTTGTTCCATATCCCGGGCTGGACACACTTGATAGCCTGGTTTCCAAACTCCCAGACGTAACCCGAAACCGTATTAAATGCATCACCGGTCAACCCCACTGCCATTCCTCTGGAGTTTAAGAGGTCACCAGACGCTGAAGTTAACAACAGGATTGCTCAGGCCAGTTAAACTTTTTGAAGAATCCATGAAAAGGTCTCAGCCTTACCGTCAAGGTGAAGATCTACCAGGTAGTGGTACCATGATTCTTTGTACCAGTGAGACCTGGACTGTCTACAGCAGACATGCCATATATCTCATTCATTTCCATCTTAACCGTCTCTGCAGACTCCTCTCTGCCTGGTGGCAGGGCAAAATACCTGACACAGAAGTCCCGACATGAGTCAGCATCTCCAGCGTCTATGTTCTCATACAGAAAGCCCGAGTCAAATGGGAAGGCCATGTCATCAGAATTCCAAACTGTCGACTATGGATCGACTACGGAAACAACTGATATTTGGAAAACTGTGTCAGGTCAAGCGCTCCATCGGAAAACAGAAGGAACGATGCAAGGGCAGTCTTAAAGTGTCCCTCAAAGACCCAAACATCGACTCCCCCCCACCTTGGAGTCGCTTACTTAAGACCATCCCACATGGTGGGATCATCAGTAGAATCATTAAAGGATATGTTCAGGCAGAAAAAAAGATGTTTTGTCGAGGCTCAGAGAAAACATGCTGTGTGCAAGGCAAGAAACACCTCAACCTCATCGTCTGCTACAACATCCACTTGCATTTGTTCCATTTGTGTTGGAGTCAAGGTCATCTTTGACATCAAAGGATAGACAACAACATACACATGTACATGTGCTTTATCTCCCGAAATAAATGTCAGATTGGGTTGAAACTTTGCAAATACCACTAGCTAGAAAGGAAATGACATTTGACATGGTGTGATGATGACATCAGGTGAAAGGTCATGTGACTTCAAAGTACTGTCTCCTGAATTACATGCCTGTTTGGGTGACAACCTTGCAGGTACATGTGTAAAAGATGCAATTTGACATGATGTTATGATGATAGGTTGATTAGTAGATTTACTAAAGAATTTGAAAAAGCTTTTTGTTTTTCTCATGACTGTTGGTTGTGTTTGTACTGTTTTTCTGGTTTGGCTGGTTGACTGTTGATCTGTCTTTTTTGCTTGTTTGTTGAGCTGATGCTTTTTTGTTCTGTTGATGTTTTTTGTTTCCTTGTATGTCTCCCATGTTAGTGCAATTTGTGGGTTGCTTGGACCACAGTTTGTATAAAAATTGATTTACTGCTTGAGTTTTGCACTACGTACATGTAGGGTGTGATTGCATGCTTTTGGAGAGTTAAATGACAGTAATTAATTCCAATTTTTAACAGTCCCTCAGGGATTCATTCTAGTCTTTTAAACAATATTCTAGTCCTTTTATAAGGAAATTTCAGATTTTCTGTATCTTGTGTTTTGCTATCTCTGATTTACATGTTATTGTTTATTCTTCCTACTGAAGTGAATAAGGAATGACTAAAAAGCAGAAAAGCCTTGATTTCTGATTGATTTTCCATGCTACAGGAGACAGTGATTGAGAGTGTCCAGCAGGATTTGAACAGCACCCGATCTGAATTTGAAGGGAGTGGTTACTACAGTTTAGCCATCATTTATGGGGTGTTTGCCTTCTCCAACTGGTTGGCGCCCTCTGTTGTCAGTTTAATAGGTCCTCGTGCAACCATGTTCATCAGTGCAGTCATCTATACTGCATTTATTGCAATCTTCCTCAGCCTGAAAGTATGGAGCCTGTACATGATGTCTGTGTTTCTTGGTGTAGCTGCAGCATGTAAGCTTGACATTTGTTTTATTTCTCACCACTCACACTTTGCTCTTTCTTTGCCATACTTCATATGCAATCAGGTGACATCCAGTGAGCTCATTACCAGTCTACCAGTACATGTAACCCAGTAAGCCTTTTGTGAATGCAATTTGAGTAAAATCAGGTTCACTGTGTTCTTTAAATTCTCATGAACATAACAATTTCAATTTTCCATACTAAAGATATGGTTGCCATACCTCGTGAATTGGGGCAAGCTTTTTCTTTAGTTACATAAGAGATGTGTTGCACCAATACACTGTTTTCCCTGGATAAGAAGGGCACAAAGGAACCAGTCCATTTCAGAGATGGTGGTTGCTATTCAAAGTTTGCCCCCGATCACAAGGTTCATGTATAGCAACTGTGCCTTTAGTCAGAGGAATTCAAATCGTTATGTTATGTGCAATCAGATGACACAGCATTCCAGATTTTATTCAAATTTAACTTGCAAAAAGCTGATGGGATGGGCATTTGGAATAATTAGTTACTGACACATCTAGCAATGTTTCACTGAACATTCCTGATAGCCCCTTTTAATGATGGAAAGTATTGTGTTTTGTATTGAGTTACTGGATGTAGTCAGGCTTTTTATGGAGCAACTGTCACAGGGCAGTAGCTGTGTATATTCAGTGGTTATGCAAATGACCAGCAGCTGATTTCACGAAACTTGGCTTAACTTGGCTTAGCCTTGTGCCACCAACATAAGCTGTAGCTGAGCAATGTACATGTAGTTACGATTTCACAAAATGTTGTACAGCTGTGCCATGTTTTTATAATTTCTTGGACAAGGACAAAAACTGCTTTTACAACGGTTGTTCCTTTCCAATATAACAAGAGTCATCAAACGGCCATTGAATCACCTCTGCCTGCCATTTTGAACAAGTTTTCATCTTCATCAGAATTGGACAGAAAATCTTGCAGTTTTCTCACAGCTAAACAAGTTTTTCATTACCTTCCACAACAAAATTATATGTTTCTTGCATAAGCCTTTTTATTAAAGTTCACCAGTGATGAGGCTGAACTGAACACAGTAAGTTACCGGTAGTCAAATTGTTAATTTTTATCTCGTTTGGTGCAACTTTTGCAGGTGTAAGTTACACCATAATTTGTTGCATGAGTTACGAACTTTAACAGTGTGTTAAGTTTCATGAAATCAGTCTTAATTTGTTGCACAACTTACACAACAAAATGTGGCATAACTGAAGTCACATCCTTGTGAAAAGTTTTGTGAAATCAGTCGCAGTTATAACATTATCGTGGTAAATGTGGTTTGCACACTGTCACACAGACAATCACAGCCTCTCAACTGTTGATATAGAATGAGGTTTGAAATAATCATTCAGTTGAGTTCACAGTTGCCTTGAGTGGGAATTGCACAGGTCTGTGATTTTTTGCAACTTGATGCTTTACCTATTGAACTCTCCTTATCTCTGACATGTGTTTACAATCTAACAGTGTGTCCAATATCTTAGAGCAAGGGACACTTTTGAGAAAATGTTAACTCAAACTTTTGCCGGGGGTCATGACCAAAGCCACACTTGTTAGTTGTACATGTATATTGACAGTGTCATACCTGAATACTGTAATTGAAAAATGGCTGTTTGGTATAACTCAGGTTAAAGAGTTTCATTACATGTACAAATCCCGCACTAAACTGAAGAGAAACTGAGACTGCTTGATTTGTTTTGAAGTTTTAAAACTTGTCTGTAGTCACTGACCAAAAAGTCAGTCCACTGCGCTAATCATTCCCAAATAGTCGCAACATTTGCAAATTTTCTTATATGCCTTATGCCATTTGCTGAAACTTGATCAACTGCAGTGCGCTCTCTAGAGCTACCATTTGTCCTTCTTTTTCTTAGTGCCATTTTTGGCATCTTTGAATTTCTGGAGTTTTACCATTTTACTGTATCTTCTGTGGTAACCCGATCAACTGTAATTTTTTATGAATGAAGATATTTTCATTCCACTGTGTTGTCCTTTCCCTAATCATGTGTCATTCCTTGATTTAGATGATTTTTGTGCCAAATTGTGATGCACTTCTTTATCGTCCATATGCCCTCATAACGTGGCGACCCATTTTGTATATGTGCATCTCTTTTTTTGTTTTTGTGTTTATGTGCATAACTCCAGGTTGTCCTACATTAATTCTACAAGAAATTCCTTCTACAAAGTACCTTTGTAGGATTAACCAGGCAACTCTAATTTACATGTACTGTATATTAGCTCAGAAATACGACAGTTGCAGTCAGGCAAAACCATTCAACCCAATCGACTGTTGAGTTCCCACCTTTTGGCTGGTGTGCTAATGTTAATTTCTGTCACCCGGTCATTTGGGGTTTTGCCTCTGAGCAACACGCAAGGCTGCCTATAATATGCTGCCCCAGGCTGGAGGGAGTGGAGGTGCGGCGAGAAAGGGAAGGAAGCTTACCGAGACTCAGTCTCCTGCTAGTGTCTTTGTGGAGAACGGAGCCTCTGTGCAGGCTGGAGAAATCTGAGGCCTGGCAGCAGGCAAGAGAGGGAAGCAAGCCTATTGAGACGATCCACTCCACCACCAGTAATGGTTCAAGGCCTGTGGGGAGGTGAGCCTACATATCCTCCACTAAACACCAACCAGCTGCTACACGCCTGAGCCCACCAGCACCTCAGGTCTCTTCAACATGGGCACCCCTGGATGAACCAGACAATGGTGTTTCCTGGGCCGACTCCTCATCACTCTCTGGGGCTATCTTGGTGAATATACCATCAGAATAAGGATCCACAGCCACGTCTCCACGGCAGCCTGCTGAGAGGTCCCACTACACCACTGATAATGGCCCCCTGAGGCCCGCAGGGAGGCAAGCCAGCATCTTACCTGCTTAGCTAAGTGGCCACTACATGCCAAAGCCCACTGGCATCCAAGACCTCTTCAGCGTGGGCATCCAGGTGTGAACCAGACAATAGTGCTTCCCGGGCCGGCTCCCCTTGGTGCTGCCTGATGAATGTGCCATCAGAATACAGATCCAATGCCACGTCTCCATTGTAGCCTACTGAGACGACCCACACTGCCACCTGTAGGTTCACCAAGACCTGCAAGCCCATTGTTTGCAGGTCTTGGCTTGTGTTGGTTTTGCAGATTTTTTTGGTTCAATACTCTTGGTGGAATTATTTACGAAATGCGATTCATGTGTGACTTGGTGAAGTCTAGTACAGGCAACCAAGAAGTATACGAACTGGTGTTGCACCATCTGAAATACTGTGGTATGCACAATGGGTATGTTGGGGTACCGGTAACTGTAGTGAAGGTAATGGCAGCATGGCGTATATTGTGTATTCCCACTATATACGGGATGTGTGCTTATGGTCCAGAACATCAGTGTGAAACAAACCAGCAACACATGCCATGTGTTGTGCACATATTATTGCAGCAAAACATGGATGCCATTTTGAGTTGTGTACGAACATGTGGTGGATTCCATGTGGCTTTCTACAGAAATATCGGTTGATTTTTGGGATGTGTAACAGGATATATGTGACTCTTGATAATTTGGCATAATGGTATATCAAATACCGGTACATACATGTATAATTGACCAAGATGGGGACTTACACGTATCTTTTGATGAAGGCACTAAAAATTCCCAGAAGTTTTCATGGTTGGATATGGAGGTGGATTGTGAACATGGTGGAGTGACGAAAGTGGAAAGGGACGATGATATATTACAAAGATTCCCTCATAAAAATTAATAAGCTTAGACACTGGTGATGCTTGTAGTGTGATAAGTTATTGAAGTATGTTGGAAGCCTAAAGGACATAGTATGTTGTAAGTGTTCATAAACAATTGGTAAAAATTCGAATTTCTTTTTAAAAACATGGAGCAAATGCAAAACTGCTGCAAACTGCTTGCTGACATGACTACAGTGACCTACATACATGTGAAATACAAGTCACAAAATAAAGAAGGCCTGACGTTTTGATCTAGCAGAATCTTAAAGGCAAAAAACATGGAACTCCTTACTTGTGCCTGATGTACATGTACATTGTACATACATGTATATTCAATACATGCATTAAGTGAGATGCATAAAAATGTACATGTATACACGTATAATATTCATACCGGTACATGCATGTGTTAATGCAGCAATACATATATGTCATTTACCATGTTTACGTGCGTAAATGTTTACGTGTACATGTATTTGTACATACAGATATACATGTACATGTGCAATAATACCAATCAAAGTTCATGTATTTTTCATTGTGGTCCGGTCTCACCCCTGATTTCAGGCATAGTCCTATGAATACACAATGCGCCATTGGAATGCCGATCCGCCGCAGCATCGCTCCAGTCTGCATCCCCAGCCAACCGAACCCACTGCCGTGCTTTCGGTCCTCCGACTTTTCCTTGAATTCACTACCACTGCAGCTCACCAGGCACAGCCTCCTTCCAAATATGAACTGCAGCTTGATCATTCTTCTGACACTTCCAACTTTGTGAATTCTTCCATGGATTTTCCTGTGCATAAGAAATGCAAAGGTTCCACGTCTGCTTTTGCTGGATCCACTAGTGAGAAGCTACTTTTTTTCATACATCCCAACGCCTCTTCTTCAGGTATTATTTTGATTTCCAGTCCCACTCTGGGACTCTCTCTTTGCTGGTCAGCCGCCTTGATCCGAATCTTACACTCCTGCTATAGCTCTGGATCCTGACTCTCTACCTGCTGATCCACATCTGCCATCCATGACCTTCTCCGTCCAATGCGGACATGCATTGTTTGTCAGGGTTGGCTCAGATAATCCAGCGGACAATTAACCCACATTCTAACTGGCATGTGATTCCACCCAAAATATGCATCAAAACCTTGTCTGGATTCATGATGTGTCTTCCAGGGACCAAGAAATAGACTCCATTATCTGCCTTACACCTATTGGGGTTAATTTGTGTCTGCTCCAAAAAGACATATAATTCAGGTCCAGATCTGAGAGATCTGTATCTGACACCAGCCAAAGATGACACAGTCTCACCCTTGTTCCAAACATCATACGAGCAGATTAGAAGCCTCAGCACTAGTTGTTTCTAGAGCTACGATCGCCCATGCATGGAAACATTCAAAGTCCTTTCCACTGCAAAACGAAACGATGGTGCCTATGCCCAGCTAAAGCTAGGGCCTTTTTCAATTCAGCCTACTTCAATTCCCCGGAACAACTTCAACAATTTCCTTTCCATTCCTGGTCTACCAACAGCTGCTAAAGACAAAACTGCTTCTGACTCAGTTAAGTTTTCAGGCAAGACCCCCTTTTTTGACAGTGACAAATCCAACCTCTAGCTTGCTTACCATAACCAAGTTGGATAGAGTCTCCCGTCACGGTCTCCAGTGTACTGCCTTTTTCTCACTTTTATTGGAGTACCTTTCCTATGCTTGTGAAAAAAATTCTGTCTCTCCAGACCTCACTGCAGTTGCTCTTCAGGCTCTGGATGAGAACATCGACACTGTTTTCGTGCACATCTCACAGTTTTCCCGCCTTGCTACATCTTCCCGCAGAGCTAATGCTCTTGAGGCAATGAACATCCGATATGAGGGCATGAAAGCTAAATTCAAAGCCTCCCCTCATACGGAAAAGACTTATTTGCAGGTCAAATTTTAGAGACTATTGAATAGGAGGCCAAGGGCATCGAAACAAGTCAAAGGCTCGGCTTCAGTGAAACTCCTCCACCGCTTCCTCACCAGCAGCCTGCTCCCAGTCACTGAGCTCCCCAATCCAGACCTCTCCCTTCTCAGTGCGACTCCTCTTGTTCTTTTTGCCCCCCCACCCCGCACCAGTCAAGTTTTGCACTGCCTCCCTCCCTTCTCAGCCCATCAAAACAATGCAGAAAGGATTGTGTTGGGGGTCGCCTACAGTTCTGTGGAAGGTTCTGAAAAAACATCACATCGGACAGATGGGTTCTCGCAACTTTTTCTCTCAGCAATATTTCGGATTTAGATGTACAAGTACCCTTCCGTTTGACTCACATCTTCATCTAACTCCAATCCCCTCCAATAAGATCAAACAGCAAGCATTAGAGATAGAAATAACATTTAAAAAAAGAAAAGAAAAAAGAGGTTCATCTGTCCCAGAATGTTCTGCATGGGGACGTCCTGAAAATGGCTTATTTTGACTGCAAGTTCCTGTGATGTGTATACAACAGAAGAACCTTTGAGTTTTGGCCTGTTATTTGGTCTCTCGACAGCCCAACGGGTTTTCACCCAAATGTCGAAAATTGTTGCCGCTTACCTATGCCTCTCAGTCGTTCTGACATCAAAGATCTGAACAGCTAACTCATTGTAGATGAGGCTGCAGCCTACACTAGCCTTATGTACAAGCTTACCAGCCGTCCGGGGTTCTTCCTCGATCATGAAAAATTGCTAGGCTGAATACAGAGGTGTGCGTTATTGACCTAAAATGACCTACATGTACTCTACAGGTTACGACAGGTGGTAAAAGAACCCATGTAACAAGGACACCGTCACAAATTGTGCCCCAGCCTCATGGAATGACCCATCTCGGGACTACAGTTAGCAATCATATGCAACTACCATTTTGCCGCTCTATCACCCTATCACAGCTCATGACATTAGGGCAGTATCAATCAAATATTCTTCGGTGGCATCCGTTCAGAGGATATCTGGAAGGCAGCATGAGGGAAAACACTCTTGACATTCACCCCATGTTACCAGTTACCTTAATTGCAGCATCTTGCTAAGAGACTTCTCCTGTAGTGAGACTATCCTATTCTCTGCACCAAGACTCTGAGGAGTCAGTGGGTCACCTCCAGATCTATCTGATGGCTTCCTCCTCTTTTCTGTGGGTCCTCGACATTTCCCCCTTTGCCTTTTAGACATTCTAGACATGTTTCCTCACATTCAATGTGTCTTCACCAACCCTCCGCCAGGGTATGGTGCTACTAAATGTAGCCACTGTTTGGGTAGGATGAGCACAGTGGATTCCTCCCCCAGTAGTGTGCTATAGTCTAATAGGGAATACCCACCCCAACAGTCTGTGCCCACCCATCCTTCCCACTCTGGCTCAGACCTTGTGCTCCAAAAAAAGGACAAACATGGTGGCAGTGCTGCCCACATGTTAGCACTAGAGGGCGTACTACAGTTGAACAATTAAGTTTTAGTGAATGGCATAAGGTGTAAAATTAAGGTTACAAATGTTGTGACAGATTAGGTAGGTGTTCCCTAGCAAACTCCCTGACACTACTGTGGGGAGGGAATATCAGTTGTTATCCCTTCTCTACATTAGAACTGTAATCTAGTTCTTTCAAAAAGTCATCACAAGTTGCAGAATGAACAGTGACAATGCTTTTGTCATAGTTCATTTGGATAACTAGTGATGTGGTTCAGTTTGGATGTTTCATTAAGGACTCAACCAGAGTCCTTCCCCACACCCTTTCCCTTTTTGGTCAAAGAATAAGAGATTTTATGTTGGATTATTGGGAATCCTGCAGGTATATGGACAGCTCAAGGAAACTTTCTTACCATTAACTCTACCAGCGAGACGGTGGGGCGCAACAGTGGCATATTCTGGGCCATGCTGCAGTGCAGTCTTCTCTTTGGCAACATCTTCATCTTCTTTGAAATTGGCAAAACCAATGCCATGTACATAATAGGTAAAGTGTTTTCAGCACTGTCTTTAACATTCGAAATGTTGCTTTCTACTGTTCAAAGCAATGTAACTAATCTGAGGTTGGAAGGAAAATAGTCTGTTTCCATATATCAATATGTGAAGTTGTATTGCTATTGCCAGTGGGGTCTACTTGGAACAGGACAAACATGGCAGCATCATTATAAAGGTCTGTTGCCTTTAAGGCTGACGTTGACTATGGTTGTATCAGAAGATGCAGTTGTTTTGTCCGACTCGTGATTTGACTCATGACAAGAACAACAATGTTATTATTATTACTATTATTATTTATTCATGCTAATAATAACATTACAAACAAGATGGGCATAAGAGAGACAAAAACAATTAAAAATTACTGTGGTCACAGGCCTGTTTCCCACATCAAGTCAAAATAAGTAAATACATATATAAAAACACTGAACATGTGAACATATAAATATGAAAAGTACACATACATGTATTAAATACACTTTGACACTTTGTAAAAATTAAACAACGATAAATACATCCAAGAATAAAATTATAATACTCCATTAATTACATATTAAAATAGAATTAAAGGTCCATCCAGGACATAAAAAACAATAAATAAATACATGAGATGGCGTATTTGTACAATTAAAAATAAAGAATGAATGATTGCACTGACATAACCAGAGTTACCAAACATAAGGCGGAAACAACAAAGGGTGAATCACTATGGCAAGGACATGCATGGAAGAGCGATGAATGCAATAAAGCCTAAGAATCAGGTTGAAGGACAGTGTTTTTCCATAATGCCAGGAACCGTGAAAAGGGTTGCAAAATTAGAGTGTTACAAACATGTTCAGGGACATGAGACCACAACCGGGGAAACTGATGAAAACAGGATGAATGAACAGATTGTGTTCTAGCCTGGAGATGATTAAAACTAACAATATTGGTATGTTTGGAATTCACATTAACCTTACTAAGACACATTTCACATTTAACAAGACTAAGAAAATGTTTTCAGACAAGGTACAACACTGCAAAGTTGCAGCGATTTGATAGGGTCAACCAGTTAAGAATCTGCAGTCTATCCGTGTAAGGCATTACTCCGCGTTTCTGACCTAAAATGAATCAAGTAGCATGTTGCTGAATGTTTTCTAGAATATCATGCTTCTTTGAGGCAGCCAAAGCAGGAAGTCCATACTCTAAGATGGGAAGAACAAGGGCCTTATAGAGGGATATTTTAGCACATGCAGAGGCATTAAAAGCCACAGTTTTGATGAAACCCGGCATGCAATTGGCTGATGAACTAACAGCTCTCCATGAGAGCTGAGCGCTTAGAGTGACGCCAAGATGTTTGACCTTGTTTGATGCTGTGAGAGAAGTGCCTTAAAGAATGTAAGCTGTAAGAAATGAGTCTGTTTGCGGGAAATGTGTATAATTTTAGTTTTAGATGTGTTAAAGGTCATACAATTAGAGGCACTCCAAGCACTCAGTTCAGAGACATCCAAATTTGTAGTAATGGAATGGTTGTCATCTGCAAAAAAATACACAAGGGGAACTAATGTTGTCGGAAATGTCATTAACAAGAAGGTTAAAAAGTAGGGGCCCCAATACACTTCTCTGTGGAACACCAGACTTCACCAAAGACCACTCCAAGGTTCGTCCTACAAAAGTCACTCTCTGTAGTCTGGAGAAGTGTGTCATGGGGCATGTGGTCAAAGTCTTTGGTCGTGTCTTGAAAAACTGCATCAATTCTAGGTGGGTTATGCTGATCAAGCTGTGTAGCCCATGTATGGTAGACATTTAGTTCTTGAGTAACACAAGATCTAAGAAGTAAGAAACCATGTTGATTACCAGAAATCAAACAGCATCCAAATGCCTTAGAATAACATCCAAAATGATCTTTTCCATTACTTTACATAAAGTGGAAGTTAGAGCAACATGCTGGTAATTATTCAAACAACTGTGATCACCTGATTTAAAGACAGGAGTAATATTTACAGTTTTCCAGCCAAGGGAAAGCAGCCACACCTGCTGAAGATCCTGCATAAAAGTGGTGATATTGAGTCATGGCATTACACAAGAATCTTGCACGTAGTGTAAAGTATATACTTTATCATTATCATTGTAAACGATCTCAGAACCTTGGAGAGTATACATTTTGATGCTGCCATGGAGCACATGGCTAATGAACACAGTCACTACCTCTGTCCCCACATGTACCCATTCATACTCTTGGGTGGAAAGAGGAAAGAAGGGGTAAAGTGACTTTCCCAAGGTCACAACATGTAACCAGCTGGTGGATTTTAACCCCAGACCCAGGAGTTATGAACTCTGACCACAAAGCTTCAAACAACAACAACAGCTGCAGCAACAACTTATTAATTTATGTAAATTCTAAAAAGAAATATTCAAATTATGCACTTTTCTTTGAGAACACTAAAAATAATAAATAAAACAATCCAAACTTATATGAAAATGCACAAACCCAATTATTTATGTAACATGTAAAGAAAACCATCAAAAGCAAAGAAAATTGCCACAATCACTAATTGTAGAATCAATAGTTGTGATTTTTAAATGGAGACATTATAAAAAAAACAAATCAAAAAGAAATACCAGAACACCAACTTCAATTTTAGGAAAAACATCATGGAAATAATGACACCTAAAACCCATCCCCACCCACTGTTACATTGAAGGATTAGGAGAAGTTGAATTGAAACAGTTGTATTTTCAACAATGCCTCAAAAGTGGCCTTTGGAAGGGCATTCTAGAGTTCAGGAAGATCAGTAACAAAAGACTGATCCACTGAAGTAACCTTGGTATGATAAGGGTAGTCCAAAAGGGTGTCATCATGAGAACTGTGAAGAGTATAATGAGGAAAATGCAACACATCCTTAACCCTAACCCTCCTGAATCCTTCACCTGTTGGAGGATTGAGGAGGGTGAGGGTTAATGGACTTGCCATGCTTTGCTAGGGACATACTCATCCGTCAAATTGTAAGAAGCTTCAATCCCTATGTAAACAAAAAAGACTATTAATCCTTTTCACCCTTCAACCAGTGAAAGTATTACTGTTTCAAAGAGACAGTGGATTAATTTGTATACAAACTGTACTCTACGTATCAGTAGGTATGTGCTTTCAGTGAACCGTGCAAAAGAATTCCTTACTCTTATATTCCCCAGAATCAACTAGGACAACTATCTTTATTGTGTTGACTACTGTGTCGGGTATCGGAGTACTGATGTTTTTGCTGCTCCGTCAGCCACCTCCACGGGATGAAACATCCATCCAGTCTACAGAGCTGAGGTTTGTGTATCAACATTAGCATGTATACATGTATTGTTTGCCATAGACCCTCGAGCAAGATTTAATCATTAAGGTGTGGTAACTCCTTAACTACGTCCAGCCATCTAGGATGCAGATGCCTTTACTGTTGTTGCAAGACACAGGTTATGTCAATTCTTACAATATGTAACCAAGTGATAAAAATGCATATCGTCCTCACGGTTTTAGTAATATCACATCATAGACTATTCCCTGCTCTATTGTCAAACTCTGTGTGTATTCTGGACAGCTAGTGTAAACGTGAGTGGATTGGAGTCTGATCCAGATCTGATCGCCTCTCTCGAGCCCCCCTGTTGGTGGGAATGTAAAGACAATTGCTGGATCAGACTTAGCGAATTGACATAACCATATCCGGTTTGCTTGATCCAGTGGCCTGGCAAAGTCTGAAGTCTGTTCATTGAAGTATGCATAAACTGTGCTGGTCCCATCAGCTCACTAAATAATATAAATCTGTGATTGGTACATGTATTTAGTTTGCAACATCAATCTGTGTCAATAGTTCTTCCTCCGTGTCATAGCCACTCCATCTCAACAATTTTGAAACCCAAAATAATACAAACTATTATACATGAACATGTATCTCCAACATTTTGGTTGTTTAAATTTGTTAATTTTTGGTCAGTTAGTTGGGTCTGTGTTTCTTTTGACTCAATTTGTAGTTTTGTTCTGAGTTTGTGCATGTCTCAATAGTGCAAACTATACTCCAAAAACTTTGTCCCAGTTAGTGTTCGACAATAGTGGTGAGAGCAAATTCTGCAGTTGAGTGTGGAACAACACTATATACACATGAAGACGAAATACTTGTAAATAAGCAGATGACAGTCATCTATTTTTATTGTCCATTATGAAGGTGCAGTGTACATGTAGCCCAGGTGGACTCCCTGACTGTACTACATTACGGAGGGAGTCCAGGATACAAGGGTGCAAAATCGGGCGAAAAATTTTAGAGTAAAATTAGTAACACTTCTACCTTTTCCAAGGAGCCAATTTCTCATCTGTATCTCCTATGCGTCCTTATCTCCACGTCTGGTGGGTTAAGAAATTTGACACATCACTATCAAAGACAAAAACGGGAAAAATAAAATCGGATGTAACTTTAATTCTTGCAATTGCCGTGGACTGTTTTCAGCCGTTCTCCAGTGCAGTTTGTACAGTGTGCATGCACAACTATTCGGCGTATGAAATTCCAAGCTGCATACACACACATCGAAACTACATGTTCTGACTGGAACCAGTGAAACTGAAGTCTAACCAAATCCACTGGTTTCCAGGCTTACATAAAGCACATAACACACAACAGGGTTCTCAACCACAATTACCATTGCAACACGCAACATTGGGCCAGGGGAGAGGCAGTGGCGTGTGTTGATGATAGTTGGCCTAGTTACCTGCACGCAAGCTGAGTCTCCTAAGTCTATGGCCAGTACAGGAAAGTTAAAATTCATGATTTGTACAAATCCTGGCCATTTTTGAGCATGTATTTTGTGTTAACAGGTGGACTTAAAATACAGACAAAAGGTGTTCACAAAATTCGATTAATTAAGGGACTCCCAGCAGTTCCGTACGGTCGAGGGGAGAGGGTATTATCCAGCAAGGCTTTGGCACATTTCTGTTGCTAGCAAATTACTCATATCTGTTGATTTGTCCCATTTTAAAAGTTATACTGAATACTGATGGAGATTGATTTTTAAAACCTTCCACACAGTCTAGCTATCTGTCTGTTGCTCTAAATTCCAACTTGTCACTTCCAATTACCAATTCAGTCTGCTTATTGTATGTTTAGTTTACGAATAAGAAAAAGGAAAGGCCGATCAACTTACCGCACATGCGCACGCTAGTGTACTACTTCTGCATAATGTGTTCTTGATCAGACTAGCATTGCTATCACTTGTTCATCACAATCATCATGCCTGCAATGTAATCCTCTTTTTTTATTCCTCAATTTTCAAGATAAGTTACTGTTTCTTTTTAATAAAAATCAGATCTCTACGATGTTGTGTATATATACATCTTTAACCAATAAAACTCTATGAACAAATTAAACATGTTAAGCACTTCAAAGAGAGATCGTTGATGAACTCATTCCCACACAAGAACCCTGCATATACAAAGCCTTCTACGTTAATCAAGGTTATTCTTATAAAATAGCAGGTTGTGTCGCAAATTTATGTTTATAACCGAAATATACAGCAGAACAAAATATGAACATTTTAGGGGTAACCAGTAGGGGGTTAATGGGTCAATTTGAAGCCTCTGATCTGACATAAATGGAACTGCAGTTTTTGTATATATATTTTGTATGCTTGACAGCATGCGGGTGAAAGCTGGGTACCAGTCACAGCCTCTGTGTAGCAGACGTGCAAGAGATCATTAATGGAAATGCGCACGTGTAGTGCATGCACGGGCTCGGATTCCACGTGTGGGCATTTTACAACTCGAGAACAGATGAATTACATCTACAAAAGTAATGTTGTCTGTCACTTATTTTCCTCGCTTTTGCAGTCCATGGTTCGTTCTGAAATTCCAAAACCTCCCAGACGGATAGATAAGGCCACAAAGAATTTGTAAATGTGAAAAATTAGTTTCTGCAACAAGGTAAACCAAAACCAAATTCGAACCAAATTTGCGGTTGTTTTGTACACAACTTTTGTACATGTACCCTGGATGTCAGTCGTAATGAAATGAAGACAACGTCCAACCTAGGCTAAGTGTACATGTATCAGAATGAATTGTAAACGGTTGTGTAGCATGTGAAATATGCAAGTATGGTGATAGTGTACCTTCTTTCATTGTAAAAAGTGGATTGAAGCAAAGTAGAATTGAAATACATTGTAAATGCCTGATTGCTGATGAAAAATGTGATCCCCCATTTCAGGATTCAGTGTAAATGTGGTACAAATTGTAATACAGTGACTGCTAACCAGGCTATATCATTGATACATGTACATGTACTTCTGCTACCTTCACCTACAGTATACAGTCGATAACAGTGAACTCAATGGGAAAAGCAACCTGGTATCCAATATGATCAGTTGTGTGACCGCTGCAGTTGTTTGTTAAGGGTTGAAGTTTGTTTCTTTGGATAAATTCCTTAATATTCTATCTGCTGAGCTTGAAGATGCATGCAGATTCTCCTCCATAAACAGTTTTTAAAATGGTAGATATTACTGTCTAAGAAGACGTGTGACATGCACAATTAAACGGATGTAGCAATGCACTAAGTCTGCACATGTACGACTTTCTGTGTAGTAATGGACTGTGGTACTTGTCATTCAAGCAAATTTGAGACCTTCAATATGTTGCAAAGAAATCAAGATGATGTATTACAATAGTATTACTAACTTCTGTTATATGGGATATGAGACCTTGGGGATACATTGCATGTTCAGTTCGGTTTTCAGGGGTGTGATGTATCCAATTTGTCTGGATTTCCAGATGTTTGGACAAATGTATTCAGGACTTAGGGATTTATCTATTTGGTTTGGCTTTGCCAAAACTAGAAGTAGTATTTTCCAAATTTTGCACAAAAGTAAATGCAAGGCATGTGCAAGTTGCTTTTTTTAACAGTGCATGCCCTGTTATTGTTACTTGCTCTGGAATGCCATAGTATACCGCTGAACAGTGGAGGTACATACATGTACATGTACAGTATATGGCATTGAACCGGAAGGACTTGGTATGGCTTCTAACTGTACATGTGCCATGCACTGCAGTCTGCATGTACAGAAAACCATCATTGTGCAGATCTTTCACTTGACAAAGGCATCAGAAATCCATGGAAATTTTCTTGGCTTGAAAGTCAGGTGGAAAATGAGGCTGCGAAGGGGAAGACAAATATTATTATTTAAAAAAAATCAACAAGCAAGGATACTGTAGGTACGCGTGGTGCACAGATAAACTGTTGAAATGGAAGATTGAGTGACATACTGAAAGAGGCTTTTTCCTGATTTTTCAGTTTCCTCAAATCTCACCCCTGGGTTTTGGGTGCGATGAGTGCCATGGTTGTTAAAACTCACATTACACAAGTAAATAATTAATTGTTCATGTTCTTGAAGCACCAGTATGTACAGCACAAGCAAAAACCATCTACAGGATACACTTGTACTTACACAGTCAAATAAAATGTTCTGGTTTGATGTTGCATTTCTCATTTTGCACTCCACTTTATAAGGTGTATTATCTTTGATGACACATCAAAATGTAGTGCAAAAACAGAGATTCAAATTCAGATGTACATTTACATGTGCTTAAATGTACTAAAAAAATCTGAGCTTTTTTCCAATGATCAGAGATGGGCAACAACATAACGCATGTCAGCACTCGATGCAAGGAACTCAACATTTTGGACATTTTATGGAATATTTTTAAGTAAATTCAACTGGCAGTCAAATTTACTTGGAACATGTTGCCAACAAACTGTCAAATGAGGGCACTCTGACACTACCCTGAACAGAGCTATTCATAGGGAGAGCTGCGACATGAGAGCTTCAATTGCTGGAAACAATGGTGGATTGTGTGTCAGTGCACATGGGCAAGCTTCATGCTTACGACACATACATGTATAATAAACAGTCGTTTTGGTTCCAAAGTCTGAAGTTGGCACTACTCATTCTATATACAACTCTGATCGTGTACAGTGTCCTCCCTCAGCCATCCTGTTTGGTGACACTCACTAACTTTCAGTAGCTTTATTCCTTTTCCAGCCCTGATGCTGAGGCCAAACTGGGTCCAGTCCAGTCATTAGGTGAGACAATGTTATGCTTTTCCCATGTTTAGTGGAATATGGACAGATTTATGGAATGGGATACGTTTGTTACTATAGTATGCAGACTTAAGCTGTCACAAATTTTAACAAGAGGTTCTTTGAAACTGTTGGGTGGACTGTAAAGAATTGGGGATGAGTTTGGATTGATCAGGCATGTCAGGTGTTTTAAACAGTGGAAGGTGTTCCATTATGAAAATGTTGGTGTGCACTTACTATCTTCACAAGAAAGTAGTAAGTTTCAATTAAGAACACACTAAGAGGTTATCTGAACCACAGCATCACTTGCAGGCATCGGGATTTAGTTTTGTGCATCTTATAATAAATACAAATTCATTTTCTGTCACAAAACCATCAAGTCTATGGTGCTCTACCTACCCAAACAGTCACTACATGAGCAAATTTCCTGTGCACCAATTATTATTAGCTGGAAAGACTTTATCAGGTGCACCCTGACCTCCCACAATGCAACAGTGCCCCACTGCCATGTTCGTCCTTTTCATAACGGACGTGTCTTTCGAAGCATCTTTGATTTATTGGGTTTCTATTTTTGGTACACGGTGTCAATTGGATCATCCATCCTTCCTTTCCAAATAAAGGATTACCTTTATTTTCTTCTATTTGTTGGTAAGAGTGTTATTCTCATGTATATTTTGTGTTCTTTTCTTCACTTTTTCTTGTGTGTGCACCTTGAGGTATTTACTATCGGCACTATGTGGTTCACCCTGACTACACCCGTGACTATCTTACTGATAAATATCAGGCCTCAGCTGGTTGAATTCAGGGGATTGCTGTTGGTACCCATCATACTCCCCTGTTTTTCCAGGTACCACCGGATGAGGAAAAAGGCCTCACCATCAGCCAGGGGATCCCGGCAGGATCTGGCAAAGTCCCCTGGTTTGTTTGGCCCCACGGAGCTGAAGGGGAAGCTCCATGGTTAACTGAGGAAGACCGCTTGAGCAGGGGCACCTCCAGGATCTGGTACAGCCCCCTGTTTCCTGGGTCTAGTGCTGGCCTGCTGTGCCAGCCGGGACTCCTGAGTGAGTGCCCCATTGGATGTTTCCCGGGCCAGTCCAGCCGTCAAGTTCACCATGCCTTCTGACTGCCATGGCCCAAAGGAATCTACATGTACGTGGCATTTCAGCCAGTGTTCCCCCCCGCGCGACTCCGAAGAGCTCTACCTGACACCAACCAAAAAGAGAGAGATGTTCTAGTCTCCAGCCAGAACTTGGCATGTGTCGGAGTCCGCTCTGGCCTGATGGTCCTCCGCTTGACCATCCATCAATCTACAGGGCACACTCGGCTCTGGCTATTGCATGGCCTTGCTTCAGTCCAAGCAGCTGACTGTGTCTTTGGCAGAAGATGATACTGATTCCACTGGCATCCTCACCTCCTATGACATGTTCCAGGTTCTCAGTCCTCCATCAGCCTCCTTTCAGCAGCAAGACACTGATCACACCTGTGCCAGTCAACCAACCGCCCCATGTCTTGAGCCTCCGCCTTCAGATATTCTTGCTATGGGGCTCCCAGGTGTGAAATAGGCTCTTTGCCTAACTGGACTGCTCCCCCTTTTGTTATCCAGAGTGACCCTAGTGTATACAATGCTGTATGCTATGCATCTCCTTGTCACCTTCCCTTCATCTAGGGCCTTCCGGAAGAACGTCTCCAAGACAACAACAGTATGGCCGCCAGAACCGGGGGGGGGGGCATGAAAGAAATAAAAGCATGATATTTACACTACATCTTTTCTAAGTTTGTTCGGAAAAATCTAGTTTTCAAACCGTGTGGAAAGGCACACTTCATGCTGACTTTACCTGTTTTGTCTTGATCATCCACCATCTTTTCTTGTCTTGAACATCACGTCAAATTACGTCATGTTCTTGTAAATGTTGTAAACCCATCGTGCCTTTGAGCGGTTACTCCTGGAAGCTTGATAGGATGTGTGCACATTATCTGGAGTCAGTATACTTGTCCTACCCACTTTTGCCCAGGGATAACACGAGTAGCTCACTCGAATGTGGCAACCCCTGACTGGTAGCCTGGTTGACGGCCGTGGCACGTGCTAGCGAGTGTGTTTTTGTCCCGCCTTAACTTCCGAAGGGGCCAATTTCACCATGTCCGCGGCACGTTGGTCTACATAAGTGACACTTGTTGGACCACATTGAAGGTATGCATGATTAGAACTCATGGTGCAAAACAAGATGGCGGGCAATATTGAAAGGGGTTTAGTTGGGGTGATCATAAACTCTCGGCCCTCCGGGTCCTCAATCTGGTTACGAACAAGTCTAACGTTATGGCTGTTCTTACATTCAATAAATATTTATTCCAGCTTGTAATAACTTGAAGAACAACTTAAAGAATTGTTACAACAACAATTCGTCATTCACCTGACATGGGCAGTGGGCACGACTTAGCCACACACATACATGTAGGACCGTACATCATGGCTCTCTTTGAAATCTGTCTTTAACTGTTACCAGCACAGCCCTTGTATGGAAGCTTAGTACAGATTGTCGGGAACTTTGAACCCAATTTCTTTCGAAATAAAAACAGCCGGACAATTTTACTTACACCAGTTGACTACTTAGAATTTACTATCTGACAATCCCATGACAAAGATTATGGCATTCATCTTTTTTACAAAAGAAGGCATCTTTTCAAACCCAGCCTGTAATGTATGCTGACGATGTCCATGGCCATTTTGAATAAAATACGCACAATACAATTTTCATCATAAACTTACTGAAGGTGTATCCCAATACATCATATTAACTTATTTTGCAGAAGCTTCAATTGAAAGCCACCAGGCAGGACACATTAGCAGAATCGGTAGAGTTGTGCTAATGTATATATGCAACACAAATGAAACGAGTTTTATTGTACAGTACGTATGTGTATATTGGCTCTACAGTTTCATTGCAAATTCTTGTCATTATTGAACTTTGTAAATGTGCAAGCAGATTTCGGGCCAAATTACAGAAGCAAGTGGCCTGGTAAGTCCCAAAGATTGTACCAGAGAGCATCTACAATCCAAAATTTTCCAAATGGAAAACACTGGTGCCCCCCCTACTTTTTTATACCTTCTGACAGGTCTAGAACACTGTAACAACAAGGTACTTGGAACTTCACAAATTACTTTATTATAATAATTGCCTTGTGTTATCAGTTGTGGAAAATGAAGTAAAACGGAGACGTGACCAAAAATTGTCCCTGTTATGCATATGACCTTATATTATCAATGCTCTTCTCATCTGTCTTTGACTGTACATGTATTACGGCAGTCTATCAGGCTCCCTCCTCAGATGATCATGAGCCATGGCCACACTTTCCATGCAGCTGTTACACACATATGCCCCCTGGGTCCAACATATCTATGGTGTGGGCATCCAGATGTAATTCAGATAGTAGCACATTCCGGGCCAACTTCCCAGATCTCTGTCCTGGTGAATACACCATCAGTATGAGGACCCAATTCTGGGTCTCTGTCACAGCCTTCTTTTTGCTGCCATTGGTAGGCCCACCCAGGCCACGGGGAAGCAAGTCCACACCTCACCTGGTGATCCTTATGATCGCTTCAGGCCTAAACCTACTGGCATGTGAGACTACACGTACATCACTGGGCACCCCATTCAGGAACAAGCAAATAGCATTTTATTGGCAGTCTTCCCATCATTTTTAGCTCTGCCCCAGTGAATTTGCCATCATGACGCAAACCCGCCGCTGCGTTTCTCCAGTCCGCATCCCCAGGCATCTGAACCTAACAATCTTCAAGCCGTTGGGATTTGTACACGTCCCTTGTCACCCAAAAATCGGGAGTTTCCTCAAGGGCCCTCCTGAAGAAACTTAGTGAATCTATCCCCACTGTGGCTCACCACGTACAACCCTGTGATCTACAGAATGACCATTCTGTGGCCCCCACTTACACAGCTCCACCTGGCCACAGATTCTACCATGCGGCCCTGCCTTGCCTGCACACCGTCCTGGTGTGTGTTTACTTCAAAGTGGGCATGTCCAAAGTTTCTTTGCGGTGATTGTTACAAGGTCCGTCAAAAGTAGGCTTGCTGTGAGCCCACTTTTTTGTTGGGATGGTGACCCGGAGCATCTCTTCCAAGCGGCTGTCACACATATGCCCTCTGAAGAGGGGTACTTCATCAGACTCTGTCTGTTTCTGCAATAAATGCTTTCGGTTGTTAAGCCTTAGCAGGATTTCAGGTTTAACATGTACTATGATGAGTTCTCTTCTTCTTAGAGTGACCTCCTGTGGATGCTCCTCTTTCAGTTATTCATATCGCAACTGTCATGCAGCCTGATCTCCTCAATGACGGCCTTTTATTTTTCACGATCCTTGCACCCTGGAGACGATGCTGATAAACTTTAGTGCCATGTTCTTGTCCTACAGTGGTACCTGACAAAAAGGATAGTATGAGAGGGACGATAACCCCCGTCACTTATCACTATCATGAGATCACACCATCCAGCGATGTCAGTCACTGTCCGCTCCGAGCGGAACAAAAGAGGGTGTGTTTTTTTTTGGTACTCGCCACAATGCTGCGCCTCATGGCGCGCAAGCATATGGGTGTTTGATGCGGAGTACACATTTATTCCGGCATGTGTTTTCTTTGCGTACATGCAGAATGTGTGCAAGAACCCGATTGTAACCACATGTCTTTCTTTGGGGGTGCACTTCAGCTCGGGGTGGAATGCCTGCATGACAGCTTCGGCCATTAGATTTGCTAATCCAGTCTAGCCATCAAGCTCTGATGAACATAGTCAATATTACATCAGGGTTCATGATGTAAGAGCAGTATCTGCATCTTGGTCTTACTCTCGAGATGTTTCCATTGCAAGCATCTGCAAAGCTGCAATTTGGAAGTCTCCCTCTACCTCCTGCTACTTGAGGGATGTCCTGCACAGCGACACCACAAATGGTAGGAAAATCTTACTGTCCACAGACCAATTGCATTGTGGGAGGTAAGAGTGCACCTTGGAAGATCAAGTCTTTTCAGAAAATAATAATAGGCGCGTGGGAAATTGGCATATGTAGTGACTGTTTGGGTAGGTATTCTCTGGTAGACCTGACCCACACTGAATGTGGAAGAGGAATTGTCCTGATGTGAAGCCTTTGTGTGCAGTGTTATCCAGTAGTAAATGCTTGAAAAATGATTTTAGCTCCTTAGAGTCAGCGCAAGGGATGAATCTGAGGTTTCTAAATGGGCTGTGTTCTTCTCAACAGCAGGAATGGAATAGGAACTTGAAGATTTGTGTGAAATTGTGTCACTCCTTAAGGTTTCAGTTTTTTAATGTCTCTGTTTTTCAGTTCGATCATTCCAACTCCTTAAGATGAAAGCCATGCTTTTGCTGATTGTTTGCTTCTTTTACACCGGTAAGTCTCTGGAATCAAAACAACATTGCTTCATTATTGTAACTGAATTTTTTGTATTGGCCTAGTTTGTGGAAAAGCTCTCTAACAACTTATTCATCAAGATTTTTTTATTATTTTGCAGGGTTGGAGTTGACATACTTCAGTGGTGTGTATGGAACTTGTGTTGGCAACACCCACCTACTGGGCCCCAAGTCTAAGAGTTATGTTGCCCTATGTGGCATTTTGATTGGGTGTGGTGAAATCATAGGTAGGTTTGTAGGGCTGAAAGTTTCAAAAATATATTGAATTACAGGGCCAGTAATTAGAAAAATTACCTGACAAATGATTACTTCTTGGGCTAAAGTAAGGATTTCAAATATACCTTTGAAGTTTGAATTGAAGAAAGTGTTGATTCAAACATAATGGTAAAAGCTAAGTTTTTGTACAATGTTAAATTGGCCGAGCGGAAAAGAAGATGAATGTGTTCATTGGAAAAATTGAAGTCCCATGATCAGTACACGTAGATGTTGCACTCTTAGAAAAATCTACCAGGACTCAAATTGATGACTTGAAGGACTAGGCCCTGAGTCAAATGTCATAGGACTGCTGAAGAGGAAATACTAATTAGAAAAATTACACACAAAGCAAAGGTCTGTAGAGAAACAGTTTAGGGCTGTTTGGTACATATCAGTTTTCAATCATAAACCAAATATTTGAATAGTAATTTTACAAATTTAATATTCCAGTAAAAAATCAGCTCTTGTTCAAAATTTGGGGAACCTGGTGAAATTGTCTGCCTGAAAATATGCTGTGGATTGTTTAAATTAACTATGCATCAATTCTATAGTGTACATTCAGGCAAATGAACATGATGTCCAAATAACAGTTTTCAGTTCTGTCTTATGTTTAATTAAATACAGTGTTAAATGTTTGAAATAATAAAACTGAACGGATTGCTGGCTGGCTTATTAATAGCATGCAAGTAACTGTGAATAATATAAAGGAAAGGAAATTTAGCTCGGCCAAATATAACATGCGAGTAGTTTTTGTGCTAAAGTAAATCCAAATGGAGCCCTTATCCCTGTGAAAGACATCTTAGTTTGGGTCGTGAATAAGAAGTCATTAAAATACAATTTAAATAGTAGCATAAGAATTAAAAATGAGACTACTTGGAACACACGTGCATTTGGAATGATTGTTGTGAAATGAATGTATTGAATAGATCCTAAAAATTTCTGTTGGTCAAGTGGGTTTTTGAAATCGCACTTTGTCTTTCGTGAAAATAATGTACATGTAGCTGGATTTGTTCACATCAATTCACCTCAGAGCTGCTGTGTTTTACACTTGTATCTGTACAGAGTTTGATCGCCGTGTCAGATCTGCTCCACATTTTACCTATAGTAATTTACTTTGTATTTTTACTTGTTCCAGGTGGAGCCATCTTTGGGCTGATGGGTAGTCGTACCAACAAGTTTGGTCGTGACCCCATTGTTCTTCTTGGCTTCATTGTGCACATAATTGCCTTCTATCTGTCTCTCCTGAACCTGCCATCTGACTCGCCCATTAGCGATACATTCAACCACAAAGGCTACATCCAACCGAAGTAGATATCACATTTCTCAAACCTTTGATGACGTCTTCATGTCAGTGCTAATGAGTCCAGTCTATGTCTATGTCTAAGCAGTTTTGAAATTTCATAAATTCATGTATTTAAGATATTTTATTCTTCTTGCGTAATGCCATGCATGGAATAACCATATCTATATACTGTTGCTTGGCTTGTACCCATCACATAAAAGTAGTCATGATAACTGTGTAGGAGCAATTTTGTCACGAATGAGGGTAGATGTATTTTATTTACATGTGGTTTGCTTGAAAAGACATCTGTCAATGTGAAGTTTTGCAATTTAGTTGTTTGTAATTATCATTGTTAATAATTCACATTATCTATAAATGAGAGGTCTGCTATGACGACCCCCCCACACAATCTTTGAAGTTCACACAGCAATTATTACTGCAAAGTTTGGATTTTTGCAGGACTAGTGTTTCATGTCTTAACACAAAGTGTCACTGAAGAACTTTTTCAAGCCCTACAAAATAGGGAAGAGATGAATTGCAATGATATTATAACATGGTTGAAATAGTTGATATTTTAGAGTTTACATGCAAAATGCGCCTATTTTTACAAAGGAATTCAGTTTTGTTAAAAAGTAAGTGGTTGAATGATATGGTTTATTTCATATTGCACTATTTAAAAACTTCTTTTTTTCTGGTATAGCCTTGCAGTTGCCTTGGTCACAGCTTTCCTGCTGGGTTTCGGAGACAGCTGTTTCAACACCCAAGTCTATTCCATTCTGGGATACATTTTTCCAAATGACAGTGCTCCGGCCTTTGCCCTCTTCAAATTTACGCAGGTAGGTGTAGTACAATGCATTGATGGTGATTTCATCTCTATCAAGTTTGTCAGCAAAGGATTTTTTTAGTTCTTAGTTTTTATTTAAATAATTTAATACTTAAGTGGTTTGTAAAGAGCCAAATATGTACTGTGTCTTTATGTCTTTAAAAAGGGTCTGCCAAGCTAGATATGTCAGGCCCTCTTTCTTTTTTCTATATTTAAGGTCACTTCAGATAGTAAGCAGTCTTTAGTGGCTTCTGCAATTTTTATTTCTTAAAATTTACAATGGATGGCAAATGTTGGATAGTCAGACTGCAAACTCTGTTTTAGACTTTGGACTATTACATTCTTGATGAATTGCAGGGCGTTATAGACAGAAGGTCTTAAACTCTTAGCAAAGAACTTCTGTAAAGCTATGCACCAAGTCAGTTTCGTATTTTCAAAAAGCAAGGTCATTGGCTTACATGTAGCACTGGCTCCAAAAATTGACATTAAGCTAAAATGTTGGCTCTCCTCAAAATTTGCTGGATTTCTGAGTTTCTGGCATTTAGTTTCCTGAGCTAATTCTGTTGGGGTCATTGCTGCCCGATTTCCTGCCTTAAAAATATCAAATTGTCTGATCTGAGACTAAAGCATGAAGTACTTTATTTTATGGTTACACGTACTTACCACTTACTGTGGAGGTCAAAGTCAAAGCAAACAGAGGTGAAGCTAATATTTGGTAAAGGCCCTTAATCTGAAAATAAGCAAAATGATGTCTTTGATACACATTGACACCCTAAGTTCCTTGAACGGTTTTGTTTCCCATAATTTTTTCAGTCGTCTTCTAGTAAGGTTTTGTTTCAACAAGGTAAAAAGTTGGCTAGTTCTAGCAACCTCCATATAATTATAGTTCAGTTGTAAACGTTTAAGTCTTTAAGAGGTCCATGTGAGCTCTCACTTATCTTTCTTTGTTCTCCTTTCTTGCCTGATCAATAGTCCCTGTCTGCAGCCATTGCCTTCTTCTATGCCAAACATCTACTCCTTCACTGGCAGCTACTAATTCTTGTCATCTTTGCTGTCCTGGGGACATTGTCCTTTGCCATGGTGGAGTGGACTGCCAGCAGAAAGGTCCGGGAAGGGTATGAGAGAATTTAGGCAGACAGAAAAACAAAAAAATCCCCATAAGTGAATTTCTCATTCCATGGATGACTTTATATGGATAAAGGTAGTCTCCATTTTTTTGTAATCATCTGTTACCTGTTAAATAAAGGGCCACTGCAACGAACTACTGTTTGATGCAATCCCTAAATTCAACTCAACATCTCTGTTGTGCTTGATTATAATTCTTCATATTGCCATTTTTAAGGATGATTTCGGGCCTTCTCTGTAGCTTTTTGGCAAATTTGATTTCTGTTTTCATTAGAAATATTGGAAATTATTTTAGGCAGAATCCTCAGTGTTGCAGCGATTCTAACAAAAGTTGCAGTTTCTGCTCTGGACGTGTTTCTTTTTGTTTGTGTTAGATTTTCACTGTTGTGGCCAGCAGGCAATTACAGAGCAAAGTTAATCACTTTTTACATAGCAGGGGATTGCATTACATAAAAAACACTCAAATGTAGAGGATTTTAAATATTGAAAGGTGCTCTTGAAATAAGTTGAATCAAAAAGGGATGTTTTGTTATTTCATAAAGTTGTTAATTGACTCAACTAACTGGTGTCAGCCTGTTCAATGATGAAGTAGATCTATAATCAATCCTCAATTAATTAGTGGTTACTGCTTCTAGGGAGAATGGCCCATTTGTCGTTTAGCCCTTTTACAAGGCTGCAGGCCTGGCTGATATATTCATGCGTCAATAGACATTGTCTGTCAGGCTAGAGGGGCCACCAGACAGTCCTTCACGTGTTTGTAAGTGTCCAGTAAATGAAGATAGGAATTTTAAAAAATTTTGAAAACAGAAAAAATGATAAATGTCCCGGCCCAGCATCTTCAACATTGATAACTGCCCCTGCAGGAAGTGGTTAATACAAACATGCGCCTCTACTACTAAGTGCATGCAACCATCAACCTAATCTGCAAACTCACAGCATCTTTGCAAGAGAGCAATATGACCATATGACCAAAATGCTGCTTGAGCATCTTTCATCCTTCAGTAAAAGGAATGTTTTGCATTTTATTCTTAAGAAAGTTAATATACTCAAAGTCTGTGTGGTCTTTTGATCTGTTGTACATGTAGTTTGAAAAGGTTCTAAATTGTTTATTGATCTGTTGTGTATATGGCCTTTTAATCGTTTGAATATTTTCAATCTATAATGTTAAGTTGAAATAATGTACTAGAACTGTAAAACATCCTGAACCACTTCCTGCTGGGTGTAATTTGAAGTTGCATGACGTAAAACCGGGTGATTTTCAGATTTTCCATTTTCAAAATTTAAAAAAAAACTATAGCTTCATTTACTGGACGTTGACACCCACACAAATTGACTGTCTGGTGGCTACTGTAATCTGACAGACAACATCTATTGACGCCCAAGTATTTCAGCCAGGCCAGCCGCCTTGCAAAAAGAGCCCAGATTGTGCGGTGTTATGTATTTTTTGTTCCCGAAACTGGCACAGTGCAGTACTGGTGTCTTCTCAATAAAAGCCAGATTAGCGTGCAGCGGTACTGTAACGCTCATCATTGGACCTCATTTGTCCCCAGTGGTAATCCACTCGTGCTGAATGCCACAAACTGTTAAAAATGTTCACAATTCCCATCAGCTCGATCTTTTGTTATGTGGCCCAGCTCTTTTGTCCAATTTTGGGCTTCCTGACTGTACATGTACGTATAAAGAACAGGTACCCGAAACTGGGCTCCCCGGCAGCATATGGTTAAAGTTATCGTGCCAAATTTAATAAAGAAAACAGAAAAGTGGAAATTAATTGGTTAAGTTTAGGTATTGAGCATTTGCTAACATTCTGTTAATACCAAAACAAATTTTTCAACCAAAATTGAACACCAACATAACAAAAAATTTTCAACTTTTGGAGTAAACCAAAGTGGAGAAGTGGCAATTTTAATAAACTTGGTAATCAGAGGACTTCATAAGACTTGTTACTCTTGTTGAAACTTGAATTGGTTTCTTAAAGAAAATCTTGGTTGTTAAAAATCAGATTTTTGAAATAAAAAAACGAGATTTTCAGAAATTTAATCAGATCTGTTAAAATTTAATTTTTTTTTTTACTTGTATCTTTGCACGAGTGATTAAAATGTTTTTGTCCAAGTTTAATGAGTACAGCATTAAATTCTTTGAAACATGTATCATCATGGACCACTGTGACTGACCACTTTGCGCTGGAGGATGTGTAAACATAACCTGGCTTTCTTACACTGACATAGCTGAGAATTAAAACATCAAATGCGTCTCGACTCACCTCCGCCTGATGTCTAAACATGCTAATCCCACCCATTTGTTCTACAAAGTCTCTTAAACTTGGCCATTGTGGAGGGCCCCCTTGTGGCAGCAATATAGCTCCATGGGTGTGCCCCAGTGTTGAAAAAATGAGGTTGCAGGAAGAAACATTATACCAGTACTGTTCAAATGACTCTTATGAATCACTGGCCATTTATGTCATTTAACATTCTGCTGTGCTGTTTCAGTCTTTCCTAGTCCCTGAAGTTCTTTGCAAACAAGCCTTGCAAACATTTGACATCCATTTTCCCCTGACATTTCTACTCTTCTCTTGAAGTGTAGCCGTATCCACTGTCGTTTTCAGCCACATATCTTTTATAAATTTAATGCAAAGCTGCAGGCTTTGTACATTCATTTGCACTGGCTTTTTAACATGCCATTTTTGGAAGGCTGAAATAGTACATGTAGGTTTTAGCTATGAGAGCCTTTGGAAAAACTGAAGTTTCACTCGGTGGCCTCTCATGAAAATCATAACACATGCATCTTTTATGCCATACATTTGGTGTACATACATGCACATTCTATGCACAGTGAAGATTTTCTCTCGGCTGACATCCATACTACCGATGGGCAATTTAAAAAGGCATCTTTATTTTCCTAACAAAAATAGGCGAAGTATGGCTTTATCTAAAATTGTAGCAAAACAGTCAGGCTCCTTCCCATTTCAGTGTTCAATAAATGATTTGGATTTGAGAAGCATAATCCAAAATGGCATTTTTGTGAATGCAGCCTTTTCTCATCAGAAAAATTTCGTTAATTGAACAGTAGTTGTGTAATTTTATTACATTTTTAATTCCTGATAAATTGTTTTCTTGCATCTTTGTAACATTTTACTATTTTCTATGGTGAAGAGTTGTGCATATTTTTGATTATTCAATGTTTCAATAAAGGTCCAGTATTTTTCTTTCACTGCAGTGTAATTGTACCACTGCACTGTTGATTAGAGGCTTCTTGACAGTAAATTATACAAGTATTTTTATGACAAAGAAGTAATTTGATACACATAAAGGCTGTGCAAATCATCACCTAGATTTATGCTGTTTTATCAGCAACCATTGTTGAGGTAATGTGTCTGGTATCCTAATCTTTTTAATTACATGTATATTTGTTTAATTTGACTTAAATTCTCCAGACTGCCTTAAATGGTTCAGTATCTTGGTTCCACTAGTACTACATGTACTTCTGACAGTTTTATAACAATGCATTAGTGCCAATTGCTCAATGTGGAACCTTGCTCCGAATATAATGCAATATATATGAAGCAACAGTATGTGCTGTCTGCAAAACTTAAAGCCAAGGTGTGTATAAATTAGTGTGTACCAAATGCCCTGCACATCGACTTGTAAAAGGCAAGGATCACTTTATGAACTAGTGTCACATTAACTGTTTAGATATCCCTTACACATTAACTAAAGCGGAAGAAGAATTCTCCAAGTATGTTAAAAATTCTTATCTTCAAACAAACTTCAAATCTCAATTCCGATTGAGCGATCCATGGCAACAAACAGTGCAATATATACATGTAGCTTTGTTGCACTGTCCAAGTCAAACCCTGCGTAATGCATTTTTCTAACTAAATGCACTGCGCTATTTTACACTGAAAGCCAATCGCACAACTACAAATTTACTGTAAATTCAAAGGTGGCACATATGTGCACATGTAGGCCCCTGTAACAGCTATAATTGTGTCAAGTTTGAAGATGAATTGGTTTGGCCTCGTGGTATATGAGACACAGATGCACTACATTACTCTGTGTTCCATTCGTGCTTGTGTGATAACTAATAATATCAATGACTTAAACATTTTTGGATTGGTCCAGTTACATCTAAAGTAACTTTTCCATGATGTTGTGGGGGGCACTGTCTTGTCTCTTGGTAATTAATTAAATGAAGGCCAAAAATAGACTTAAATCCTAGCCAGTATACACCCGAAAAACACTGAAATGCAACGTCTTTGTAATTAAAAAAAAAAGAAATAATAATAGCAACTTGATTTCAGATTTCACTCAGACAGTCATTTTGGAGACCTATTTTAAGGTCTGGAGCCTAAGACTAATGGTGCGTTTTCTGTTTTCCTGATGAACCAGACTTAGTTTGTTTGTACTCCTGGATATCCCTGACTTCTCAAAATGATTAAAGGGGTCGTTTTGCAGGGTCAAAGATGTCCCACAGTCTTTCATACTCTGCAATAAATGGCTGGACAATGTCAGGGTTGTTCGTAATCAGCACATTCTCATTGTTGCTGTTGACAGCATGGCAAGTCCAGTTGAAAGAGCCATTGATGAGTGTCATCCCATCGATAACCACAAATTTGTGATGCATGAGGTAGCTGGAGTAATCCCTTCGCACTTGGATCCCTGCACATAAATGGAAATCAGAAAAATACTCTAATAAGATTGTAGGTCAACTCGCCCCCTGGCCGACTCGCCCCTTACCAACTTGCCCCCTGACCAACTCACCCCTGACCAACTCGCCCCCTGACCGACTCGCCTCCTGACCGACTTGCCCCCTAAGTTTGCCAAGCACGTATGGCCGGCCCATTCACCATTTTAAAAAAATACATACAGTCAGAGATGGAATCGGTGATTGCTGCCCTTAAAAATAGGTTCTGGGGTTTGCAGCTGGCACTTAAAGTTGAGTTTGTTAAAAGCTTGGTGGATATTCCCTTTGTGTGAAATTGGGGGTAACAATATTTTTTTTTAATATTGGTAAAACTCAGTATTATCGTGTGTATGGGCCATGGCGCAGCGTTTCCTGTGTATTGTCTATGGGATTTCGTGCGCCACAACACCAACACCCTACCATATTAATTAACTTTGCAAACTATTTCAGATAAAAAAAATGGTATATATTAGGCATAATGCCTGGCGACGCAAACCTACGGAAGTATTAAGGAGACATGATTTATGACAAAGGGTGTAACGGTTGCTACACACTTTCAGGTTCTGATAACTTCACAGGATGCAATTATTAGTTCACAATTAACACTAAATACTGATTTATTCAGCGAGTACAGTCATCAAGGATCACAATGTTGATCGGCCAAATTGAATTATATCCCAGCATGCACTGTCGGTGTCATGACGTCAGGGAAAAACAGTCATGTCATCTGGTGCCCGTTACTTGTAAGCAAACTAAGAGCACTCTCAGAGATATTCAATTCCAAAACAGGAATAAAAATTACTCAAATAAAAAAAAAAAATAATGGGGCATTAAAAATTGACATTAGTGTACAATATACCACTTTATACATCACACAAAAAGCGTATATCCAAGAACCTAAATCAATTTTCGCAGTATATGTGAGGTCCCAGTCAAGTGAATGAGCAACAGAACACTATAACTAATTAACTGGATATCGGGTCACTACAAGAAGATACAGTCACATACCCAAATATTAATGGGACAGATCGAGGGTTCGAAGTTGTTGATCCTGAGGGTATGTTGGATGTACAAATAGCCTAATCAGACAGTGGACGTAAGAAGCGTTGAATAAATAAGTGATTAGTGGTGATGTCCAAATATCCATCACAGTCCGTGAGTCGTTCATGTCCCGTCGTTGGTTAGAACCATTGTTTTTTTGTTTTTTTAATACATTGGGCCAACCATATTTGCTTGACGTTCCGAGGGGGCGAGTCAGCTAGGGGGCGAGTCGGCCAGGAGGCGAGTTGGTAAGAGGTGAGTCGGTCAGGGGGCGAGTTGGACAGGGGCGAGTCGGTAAGGGGCGGGTCAGTCAGGGGGCGAGTTGACCTGACACCTCTAATAAACGCCCAATCTTCTCTACATTGTTGCGAGGAATCTTACCGAATCCTAAAAAGTTTACTACTATGCACTTTCTCTGCACTACCTTTCAAGGAGTATAAATGGTGGGCATGACTGGCCGATCGCTCTGCAAAATTGGACAATTCTCCATGAAATCTCCAACTTTACATTCCTTCCTTGAGACAATCTTTAAACTATGAATTAGAAAGAAAAGGCAATTGGCTGATGGCAGAGTTGACAAACTGTGCACCAAGTTCAAATGATCCCACAGAGATCAAGTGATCTCATATCGGTCTGTTCAGGCCAAACATAACAATAATTCAATCTTCCATGTTCCTCACTGAAGCACTCAAAGTCCTGGTGGATTTTGAGGGTCCTGGGACATGTAGGAAGGTTGTGCACCAGGTAGGCTCACATGACAAGAGTTCAGGTTTACACGTAGACCTAGACGATCAACTTCACAGTTCTGGAGGTACTATGAAGTATGAATTAACTGAACAGCCTACACCATTCCTACAAGTCACACATCAAAGGCAAACTCCACTCATCTTTTTCTCTGAGAGGTCACTCATTATGCCAAACTCACCATCTCTTCGAAACCTTCCAATGAAAGTCCCAGACGTGTTTTGGGCCTCATCATCTGTGATAATTCTCACTACGATGCCTCTCTCGTGCAGTCCAATGACTAATTCCGCTAAGTCGCTGTTTGTGATTGTGTACATGCAAATATCAAGGGAGTGCTTGGCGTTCAGTATATATTCGACCATACGGCTGAAGTTCGTTACCTCGTGCGAGAACGGACATTTGGGCCTCCAACAACCTTTTGTGGTCAAGAAATGATCGGGGCAGGTGCGCTCTGTGTCGGGGAAAAACAGGACATGGTGAAAGACATTTGACGTGTTCGATGATTGCCGTGTGGCAGCAGCTGACAACAAGGTAAAATGGCCCAACATTTGCTGGTGAACTTTTCTCTTGTACAGGTAATACAGCACTTCTGAGAATAGGCCTACTCCAAATGCGAACACAACCGTAATCCATGAACGTAAACTCATTCCAAAATGCCTGTTACTGCCAACATCATCAGTGAAACAGGAAATTTTCAAGATGAATCCGATCATAAGTAGGCACTTCACTACGGTCGTCGCCCTGGTGCTCTAACGGACCAGGCTGAAATTGGCACGAAATTCGGGCCGGATTTCGGCTAGCCTGATTTTGGGCTGGACGCTATTTCTACGGCTGCAAGCAACCCTAGTTCACGTAACCGGATAGAAATTCTACGGAGGCCGATCACGGCATAGCAGAAA